GGCTTCATGAACAAGTGACCGATATATATGACAACTGAGGAATATATAAAGCTGATATTGTGTGTCTCTTAGTAAGCATCATATGACGTACGTGTGTTTTCTATGCGTGGTAGTGAGTTCTTGAGAGATGTAAGGGCATGCACTTTAACTGTAAGCCATTTATGTAATGTGTGTGAGAGTTGGATCATCGTTGTGGATGGTTCAAGCCCTGAAGGATGATATTATATATATATATATCTATGTTTGTGGTTTCATTCCCCTGAACTATGCATATCTATTTGGATGATTTGGAGGAGAATTGAGAGACGAAAAAGCCATGGCGTGTTGTGAAGCTACTCCTGTCCTCATAGATTGCTTTAACTTCTCAAGTGATGTCGGCACGTTGGTCCCCCAAAAAAAAAAAAAAATCGAGAAGATGAAGATGTGAAATTGTCGGCAAGGCGGAGATAACAGTCAATAACGGACATCAAGCGCGTTGACTATATTTTGCAAAATACGGGAAACTACTTAAGCGCGTGGCTGACGTGCAGGAGCGGAGCCAATTAAATTCTCTTTGACCTTTCAATAACAAATAATTCCTCACAATAAATAAAAGCTCCATAATTTCTTTCTAATCATGGCAGGAGATTTTCTCCTCCCAAAAAAAAAAATTTTACCGTCCTAGATATGAACAATTTTTAGTTATTAATTCGAAATATAAATAATTTAATGTCAGCATTTTTTTATTTTACCCTTATACTCCCATCTTGTTCTGTCTAAGACATTTTTAATTATTTTATCAGAATAAAAAAAAGTTGATTAACTCATTAACTTTAAATTTTTTTTGCATATATATCCCATTTAATAGAATTAAACCAAGATAATAGTCCAACATTTTAAATATTTTGTAACGTAGCCATATTAATATTTAAGTTAAATTAAAATGATAAAAATGCCTATTCTTCTTAAATTTAAAATCTTATTCTCATTTTTAAATTTGAAAAATATTATATCGATTAAGCTGATAATGAAGTATTCAAATATTGAAATGATTGTAAATGGGCCATAATTATAACCATCAGCTATGTGAGTTTCGTTACTGTAACGTAAGTTTTTTTTTTTTTTGGTTTGGGCATAAAAAGAAAAAATCACACCTCAACTGATTGTAAATGGGTCACATTTCTGAACTTTCAAAAACTTATTCAACAACTTTTGATTAATATCTTTTTCACTGTCATTGGGCCAATTTACTCTTAACTTCATTTGAAAATAGCATAAACTTTAAATTTTATTTTTATTTAAATAAAAAATAAATTTACATCATATCCTCTCTCATAGTCTGACTTTAAATAGAGATAATATTAAAAAAATTAAAAAATCTAATTAACATCTCACAAAATTTTTTATATTAAGAATTAAAAAAATTTTCTAACTAATTATAATGTTTATGATATTCCTCTCAATCTCACTGAGAGATGAGAAACTAAGTTGGCCTAGTCCTTATGAACCCCGCCTTTAAGGGTTTAAGTCCTAAAGCCTGATTTTTTAATTTTTGACCTAATTTTGAAGCTGGAATCTTAATTAAAGAGCTCAAAGTTGGGCTTGCAAGCCTGTTTTTAGAGAAATAAAAAAAATTAACATTATAATTTAAATAAAATATTTTAAAATTTAACATAAAATAAATCAAGGTCTCACATCAAACAAAGATTTAAAATTCTAAATTCAAGATAAAGATTAAAATCTTTATCAATTTAAATCTAAATTCTCCTTATCATCATTTAAAAATAAAATATTAGATCTTTCAAATGTAGATTCACTTGTTGAAGATAGAGGTTAAGGTTCAATATCAATTATTTATATAACTTTGTCTTCATAATCTACAATAAATGTTAATTAAATTGTGTCATTATCAAATACATACACATCAAAAGACAGAATATAAGAATTACCATAAAATGGCATAAAACCATTTAAACACGAGTGTAAATTAATGCTTGCACATTATTTGGAAGGAATCGAGGATGATAACTTGTTAGAATATGGGAGCCTATGTTAAAAATCAATTTACTAACTGTTGTAGTGATCAGAATACATAGAATATCGCATGTCATCCTTGAAAGATTGAAAAATTGTTATTAATTAGTGTTCCACCAATGTAACACATCTACTTCTTAAAATTGAATACTATCAAGTGAAGCTTCTTTTAAATAATAATTTAATTTAAATTTTTTAATGAAAGAAACATTCCTATTTTTAAAATTAAGAAAATTCTATATTAAAATAAATTCCTAATTTCATCACACAGTGTGTTTTTAATTTTTACAAAAAATATTGTAACAAGGCTTTGGAAATTGCCTGAACTTGAGCCTTTTTTTTATGGCTTATTAGGGTAAGGTTTTGAAATTCGATTATCCTAAAAATTATTTATTTTTTAAATTTGAACCCTTATTTAAATATGACACTCAACCTTTTAAGTTCAATTTTTATTTTCAATTTTACTCTCACTCATTATAATTTATGGAAAGAATATTAATAAGAGAGATACAAAAAGAAAAAATGCCACTAAAATTTCTCTGAAATGTATAAATAACATTTTAATCTCACAAAATATCATAATTTCTCTGAAATTTTTAAAAATTTTTCTATCATTAATAAATTTATATAAATTATTAAATTATTCTTGTTAAAAATAAATAGTTCACAAATTTTGTTTTGATATTCACAATTTTTTTTTATATTCACAATAATACAACATTAAATAAAGAATTGTTAATATAAGAAGTAAAATTGTGAATATTTATATAAAACTTATAAATTATTTATTTTTAATAAAGATAATTTAATAATTTTTATAAATTTATTAATTTTTAAAAATTTTAAGAAATTATAATATTTGAAGAGATTAAATTATTATTTATATATTTTTAAAAAAATTATTATTAATTTTTATATAAAAATGTAGAATAAAATTAATTTCCTCCCGAACGCGCAAACGAGTGAAGACCTGACGCTCGCCACAACTGTATAGAAGAAGACGCCCCAGCCACTTCGTCTTCATCGTTCAATTTCTCTCCTCCAAATCCTATCTTCTTCCGACGAATTTTCTCTCTCCTCTCATCTCCAGCACCGATGGATTCCGATCACACCCACCGCCATGGCCATTCGCACCAGCAACACTCCTCCAGCGAGCTTCTTTCGAGTGCCAAATTGGTTGCTCAGGCTGCCCAATCCACTTTCCGCCACGAATCCCACAAAGTCGACAAAACCCAGGTCGCCAATGCCGCCGGCGATCTCCTCGAGGCGGCTTGCCACTACGGCAAACTCGAAGACAAGTCCTTTGGCAAGTACGTTGACAAGGCCGAGGATTATCTCCACAAGTATGGCGGCTCCTCCCACAACGCCGTCGGCGGCGGACATCCAGAGCATCCGACCATCGCGAGCTCGCACTCGGCAAAACCGGATAAGTCGCATGGACACGGGGATTACTTGAAGATGGCTCAGGGTTTCTTGGGATCGGGCTCTAAGGCCGATTCTGACTCGTCAAAACCAGGCCACTCCGGAAATGGTGGTGGCTATGAGGGTTACTTGAAGTTGGCTCAAGGCTTGTTGAAAAAGTGATGGGTTTGTTCTTGTGAACTCTGTGTGTAGTTATTTGTCACTTCGACCATAGTTTTTTATGTACTGTAGCTCTTGCTGTTCTGATTCTCCTCATCTGATTAGGAACTTCAGCTTCTTCCTTTGTAACTTCATTTCACCATATGTGATGTGTTGTTCCTTAAAAGGCTCAAACTGTGTTTTGAATATATATATATATATATATATATATATATATATATATATATATATATATGTGTTCAATTTTTAGGCGTTGTGTCAAGCGAATGGTAGGATCTAATGGAGAAGAATCTTGGAAATTGATAGAGATGTCTCTGTATTACGATGAATCAATTAGTGGATATTGAGTAACAGTGAAGATAAAGATAATTTCCTTTATTCGATTCCAGGAGTGACAGTGACTTCAATTGAACAACAGCATTAGAATAAAATAAAATGTGCCTTTAACAACAGCATTTTTTTTTTTTACTTTTCATTTTCGTGTAACAGTTTTGATTAATTGAAAGAAAAATACTACTATGTAATAATAAGAGTGCGCAGAAAAAATAAACAAACATTTAAATTGCATGAGAAAATTTTTTTTTTTAAAACATGTAAGTTCAGTGAATTGGGTTTTGTTCCCTTTTGCGTGCAAACTGATGTAATTTGCATTGTTTAAATTTTGATTTCAATTCATGTATTGATCTAAAGACTTATTTCTTCTTTAACATCGTCATGAATTAGATTGAAAGGTTTCGAGAAGGAACTAGGAAGTAATGCTATCTCAAAAATTTAATTCGAATTCTTTTCTGGCAATTACTTGGACACCTGACGCAAGCAAGATAACTCATCAGCTTTTTGACATATACCAGAGAAACGCTGTGATTTACTATGTAAATTATTTGTTCTGCAGCTTGGTATTTGTCTAGATTATTGCAATTTCAAGTGCATGTTGTCATATATTACGATTTCTATTTTTTTCGTTTCACCTGCTTTTCTTGTATAGAAGGATAAAAACTATCAGAAGACATGTAGTTTCATGACAGATGTTAGTTAAGACTTTGTAAATCAAATAATCGAAGAAATATTTACAGTTTTCTTCTTGTTCCTCAAACCCAGTGAAGCTACATATAAGTGGTGATCTCAGAAGCAGGGGCATGTCCCTGGAAGCTTGCCGGTTGTTCTGATTGCTTTAGCCTTTTCTCTAATTTTATGCTCTTCATTCCTTCGTCTTTCTTCTGCTTCAGCACTTGCAGACCTTACAATTCCATTAATATATTCTATATCACTATTGAATTTCGCGTAAGCTTTTCGCCTTTCCTTCTCAGAACTGCTCATCTGTTTCAAAAATGCTTTTTGAGCACGCAATGCACAAGAGCTTCTTATTTTAATCAAGCATGAAAAAAGAATGGATGAATTAAAGGAACCTCTTTCTTCTCCAACTTGCGTCTGGCTTTAGCCTTCTTCTTGTTTTCCCAAGAATTTATCGTCAGCTTCAACTTATCATACCTGACATGCATCTTTCATCAGCAAAATAAGAAGTGCATGCGATGTTTGAATCAAGAGATTGCCAATCAATATTAAGTGCGTGCAAAGTAACACTACAGCCATGCATGTACCTTTCTTTTATCGTTTCAAGCTGCTCCCTCTCCCAAGCAGCTGCTTTTTTTTCGTTAGTGTTCACTCTTGTTGGTGGAGTGGGTGGCTTTGGAGGGCCAGGCTTTATCGCATCATTCCTTACTTCTCTGTGGTTGTGGCGGTGGTGGCGGGGGAGGCAGAGGCATTAGGCTTGAATACTCTGACTTAATTGGTGGAGCAAGTTTTGGTTCTGGGATCGCAGGTTTCATTTCTTCCGTTTTCTTCAAGTTTGTATCACCAAAAGATAGAGTCTTTCTTGGCGGTGGGACCTCAGGTTTTGTATCATCCCTGTTCAAGTGGTCGCTAGAAGTTGAAGTTTTCTTCGTTGAAGATACTGGGGTGAGAATCTTTTCTGGTTTCTTTTCATCGGTGACTGGAAATATTGGCACCTTGTTAAATAGGCCATCTGAAGATTTAAATGAACCTGCATGTGAAGTAGAAGCAGTTCGTTATCCTTTTGAATCTCTTCCATAAGGACGAAAATCATAACTCTAGTTTTCTTTAGATGACTTTACCTGAGAGTTTCCTGGATAAACCACTTATTTTGCTTTTGGTCTTGGTCAACAAGTTCTCAGGACCCTCACTAGTCTTCTGTTCAGAGAAATATTGTGAGGTTACGGCGAATGCGGCAGCTGCAATTGCAGTAGCCACGTTCTATCTCTAGAGAGTCATAGTCATTACTCATTTTTCTCAAAAACTGCCTTGGGAACCAATTCTGGGCCTTCTCTGAAAAAATTGACACGCAAAGTTGGTAATGCACGCAAATGGTCGGAAAAGAAAACCAATCTTATTGATTATGTGATCTACTCTCTGTTCATCACCATAATCAAGAAACTATTGTATTGCCAAAGGAATGTTTGCTTTTTTCTCCTGTGAACTAGGAAAGTCGGTTGCTGAAAAAGGGAACTTCTTTGCTTTTTGGTTCATTAGCAACCTTCTTTGGTTTTTTCTCTGAATAAAAGTGAAACCATTAACACCAACAATCAAAGAGTAGAAGCATTACAGAGCTGAATTCTTTCACCTTCCTCCCCCTCTCTAAGCCAAGAAGGAGGATGGCACAGTCTGGTATTATTTGTGAATACATAGCCATGGAGTCTGCCATTCTAACATAAGATCTATGCTTAAATAACTTTTTTTTTTTTAACTTCTTTCTTTTTTGGTTCATTAGCAACCTTTCTTTGTTAACACAGGTAATTCAAACTACAGAGAGAATAAAGTCCCTCACCTTTCTGTGAGGGTATTTTCTGATCCCTGATGCCACTCAGATCAGCTCCGCTCTCCTCTGCACCAGTAAATATCAACCTAAGGAAAAGGTTCAAGATTAACTTGATAATAGTTATCAACTCTAATAAGTGAATTTGTACTTAATTTACAGCAGATATGATAATTATGAACTCTTATTTCCTTTAGGTAAGATCGCTTTAATTCATTGTCAGATCAGACACTTCTAAAGTTTGATCACATAATAACTGCAAACTAATCTCAATAACACGGTAAAATTATGCAATCTTAAGGGTATAGTAACCAAAAATGTTAGCATGCAAAGCCTTGCCCATTTGAAATGTTTGTTTATTCATATCTATGTAAGCACGCACATGGCTGCTAGAACATGTTGCGACATTTCCAAGGTAAAAAGTCATGCCGACATACCTGATCTGATTCATCAAATTCTCCATGAGATGTCTGTTTTGAGGTGTTTGCTTACCTTATCTATCCACATGGTGGTGCTTGTTTGAAGGAGAAGAAACCCGGGGCAAGCAAGGTTGAATATGCTTTGCATGGACTCTCTGGTTTGGAACTCTAGTGCCTTTGGGTGAAGACAGGCATTATATCCTCTCTAGAAACTTTCCTTTTAATGCAGAGGATCTTACTATTTGACCTTCTTAACCTCAGTTTGCAATCCAGATTTTATCAGTTCAAATATCTAGGAATCTTAAATTGAGTCTTCCGACAAAAAGATGTCAGATTTTCGTTCAAGTTACCCTAGGAATATTCTCAAACCACTGAATAAAAAATAGAACAAACCATTGGTTTCCATGATTCGTTAAGCTGCAACTTATCAAGAAAAATGTCATCACAGGTCAATCAGAAAGTAGATCTGTTCAGACAGAAAGGAGGAGACACAGAAAGCACCTTCCCTACTTTTATTCATTGAATAAGCTTGTGCATCAGAGACTCACA